AGTCTCCTCCATAGGCTGCATGGCTAGGTTTAGCTTGGGCAGAGAAAAGTTTTTCATTCCGATCATGGTTGCGTTTGGAGCCCCAGGGTATTGCAGGTCGGGCAGTGCAAGCATCATAGCCGAAAGAGTTCTGGGTCCTACTGCAGTCGCTGGCCTAGAGCTGGGGCTAGAATTTAGGTCTGCAGACGCTGATGAGCTAATTGTCTGGGATATGGCTGGGACACTAGACTAATTTTCTTGTGTGTTCTACACTCCTTCAAAAAGGTTAGGATTACAGTGCAACCTGTCAGGATTTGCTGGGCTAGAATTAGAGCAGATGTTGGAATTATCAGGGTCTCAAGGTCAAGACCTGAGCGTGACAAAGACCACTCGGGCTGTGCTCTGGAGGTAACAGCAGTTGCGATGCTCATGTTTCATGGCAGTTGATGTTAAATGTATATTTGTCAGATAGTAGTTTATTTTTAGAGACTGGTTAGTCATTAGAGTGCCCTGTTGCTGCTTCTAATGAAGGGGAAGTACAAAACATTTGCTGAGGTGAGCAGAGTGAGTGGAGGTAAGCCACTCAGCTTTGTTTGGAGGCAGAAGATTGCGCGTGTCCGTTCCTGGAGAATACATGGCTAAGACCGTCATATTTTCATCATATTTCCATCAAATCCTCAAAGGATTTGAGGGGACAACAAAAAGTTGTTAAGTCTTAAGTAGTTAACTTAAGAATTGTAAGAAAATTTTCAAAAGTTGTTTTTCAGAGTGGAATTTCGGTGTAAAGGAAAAAGAGCCAAAAATAATGCCCGACACTGATGCTCACTAATCTCTGTAGTTAAGTTCAGGGTGATGCACAGACAGGGATGGTGTTACTATACTGATACGCTGTTCCTCGTGGTCGGAGGCAAAAATAATTAAAGAGGCTTTGGTCCCTCTATCCTGCCATTTTCCAAAACCACCTGTTTTGGAAACAGCAGTGGTAGCCGCCTGTCCTAGCTTTGTTTCTCCTTATGTTTATACCGTTCAAGAAACATTGCTGTGAAGCTGTTAGTCTACGACTTTGTTGGGGCACTGTAAACTGACTTTGTTGGGGCACTGTAAACTCATTTTGTCTCGTGGAGTCCAATAATATTCCTTCTAGTTAGCCTGGACATCTCTGGCAAATTGTTTGTCCCAGTCCCCTCACTGGGTAGAACAATTGCTATAAGAGACCTAGTAACAATCCGGCGGTACCCTGGGGGCATATAATTGCTCGTAAACGTTAATAACGTTGTGTCTTGGTTGTGTTTGCGTAGCTTTGAATGTGTTACAGATTTACTTAGTTAATAAGGCTTTTAGTGCTTGCAAGCAGTGAAATGTGAGGAAGAGAGATGTATTAGATCTTCCATGCCAGGAGTCAAAACCAGACCCACAAGCCTCTACATGGGGAGACAGGAAGGAAGAGAGAGAAAACTGAGGTGAATATCTGTGGAAAAACAATCCAGACAGTGAGATTTAGAACTCGGTGAAACAGCCTACTAAGCAAAGTGGTTTCTCATACTTAAAGCTTGACAGAGAAAATACTAGTACATATAAATCTAGTAAGGAGCTGTCTACTGGCTGGGGGAAAGAAACCTAGACGATTTAATGGACTTTTGTGTCTCCTCTAACATCTGGGGTGAAGGAGTTAATCTGAGTGGGCGACATTCTGAATCTGCTGTTCTGGTGCTAAATCGGGAAAACTGGGAATTCACAATGTGCACAGGTGCTGCACCTGTTAGATTAGAAGGCAGCATGCACTGAAACTGAGAGTCGCCAAACAGCATGAAATATGTTAAAAGTTAAAATCACAGAACTGGAAGACACCTCAGAAAGTGCCCTCACTCGTCCCCATCATTCACGACAGATGTGTGTCTGGTCTAAAAGACCTCCAGTGTTTGGAGATGCCCCAACCCTCCTGGATGCTCTGTTCCAGTTCCTCATTATTGCAGAGCCTCACCTGAGTCTCCTTTTCTAAAAATGCAAGCTCATTAATACTGCTCCTATCCACTGCAGCCACGCAGCCTAAATGAAGACTGCTACGTGTGTATCTTGTAGCCTCTCGCTCCTGCTTTCTCCTTCCCCCCCCCCACTCCTAATTTTCACTTTTCTACGTGTCTAATCACGCTATTTGCGCCGTCTCCAATCTTGCCAAAACTTTCTTCATATAAACTAGACACACAGCTGCAGCTGCAGTCTTACCAAAACTGAGAAAGCAGAAACTTTTGAGTTGGCTAGCTGCCTGTGTATGGCACCAGCTGGTTTCGGAACAGTACCTCACGGACTCAACGTTCAGACTGCTCCACTGCAACACATTTTTTTTTTTCTGCAAACCACAACACAGGTTATTTCAGCTTTTGTTTTAAGCAGTTGATTGTTCCTGGCCAGATTTAGAATTGGCAGTTGGCCCCCCACCCCGAGAAATTTCATCCTAGTTTTTCAGTAGTCCTTTTCGTAATTTGGTTGTTGATTCAGCACATCTGAGGTACTCTCCCAGCTACTCTTTTAAAAGCATTGAGTGGATAGAGTGGCCACAGACCAGAAATTGGGACTCATACTCGTTATCCCATACTCCAGGGCAATTAAACCTGTACTTTTTCAAAAAGGTCTGGATTTCCATAAAGGTAAAAAAGGAGCACAGATCTGTCTTACTGCTTATGTAGAAAAGGAGTGCTCCCCAAATGCATAACTAAGTTAACAGCTTTTTTCCATCATTTTTTTTAAAACTAAGACTGAGGCATTGCAATTGGTCTTGACCTCTATGCGTTTGTTTCAAGACTTAGTTGTGGTTTATAGCTTATCCTGCCCCCTCCCCCCCGTTTCTTAGAGAATGGAGTAGAGGGAACTTCAACTGTTGGTGCAGTCAGGTCCCACGTGGAGCAGAAATCTTGTCAATCTTCCTTGCTAGGAGTTCCTCCCGTGGCTCTCATGATGACCGTAATTGGGGTAGAAAGAAATATTTTCTCAACAGTGGGTTGAAGTACTTCCCCTGTGTAGAACTGCTGCAGTCTCTGAGGACTTGCTTGTATAAGGAAATTGCTGTTTTGCTTCACCTTCAAACATACTCATCCAGTGTGTCTTCGAATGCAAGAAAAGCCCTGGCTAATACTCGTAAGCATCACCAATGCAGAAATGAGTTGCCACTGTTACTCTCTCTCGCCTTTCCCCACTTCTTCAGTTTTGGGTTGTGTTTAGTTTCTGTACTGGTTGACTGATAGACTGGGTTGTAGCTTTCCGGGAGGGGACTGGACTGCTTGTGTTTGTACAGCATCAAAACGACTTGCTGTGAACTACTGACTTAGTTAAGTCCTTTGGAAATTACCACCATGGAAATAACATGGAAAAACGAATAAGTGGACTTAAAATCCTGAGAAGATTCAGCCTGCAGTATACATGCTCAGTTGTGCAAACACGAGTTAGACCGTAAAAATCAGGAATGGCGAATAAAGGGTATGGTGACGCCTAATACGTGTCCTTTATACATGGGATTGCATTTACAGATTGCCCTCTCCCCTCCAAATTACAGTATTTTTCTTTGTCACACTGATCAGTTCTCTCAGCAGGTTTTCCGTAACAAGAAGATTGCTTTCTGTAGTACAGTAAAGCCTAAACTATTCCAAAGTCCATGAAATTCTGGGTTTTTCCAGATGTGGGCTTGATAGTGGAGAATAACAAGCAACTGTAATTTGTAAAGTATGCTTTTTTCCCTAAGGATCAATAACTAGTTCCTTGCCAAACAACACATTTAATTAACAAAAGAAGAGATTAATCATTATCTGCCACGTTGCATTATCATCATTATCTAAGTATTTTTACTAACAAAGTTTGCGTATGATTGCACATTGCATACTGTAGTAACGAGGGTTTTTTTTTTTTTTGGGGGGGGGGGGGGGAAATGCCTTTAATTCTTTATGCAGGAAGCCATACTGGCTTTAAGGAAAAGGCTTATAGTAGTCTCAGTCATTTTTCTCTTTTGTCCACTTCCTTTGTCCATTGCAGTACTTGGAAAATGATACGAAGCCTTTAGGGATGAAATGTTTAAAAACTGAAGTCAGAAGTCTAGCGGTGAAAGAGTTTGAAATGCAAAGTTGAATTTAGCATGGTTGTGTTTGCTCACTTGATGTGTGTGTGAAGTACAAAAGTAATAAATGCTGATTTGAGTTTAGTTAAAAAGTATTTTAATATTGAGGAGAGTGAGGCACAAAAAATGCAAAGGTAATGGTTGTCAGGGTTACCTTCCTTAAGTATTTACAGGTTATTTCTACGATTCCAAAAAGATTTTGCAAAAATAAAAAATTTTTTTTAAAGAGAGCTTCTTTACAACCTGTTCACAGGGCACTTGACAGTCTCCCTAAATTGAAAATTTTTCTCTGAATAATTTCTGAGATGATTTGGTAACTATTTGAGCTATTGCATCTCTAGATTTTGAGTGGTGCTTGTTAGTTTTAACTGCAGCTCTGTTCACAGTCCCATTTAATGCTTATATACACCAGTTAAATTTTTAAAATTAGGTTTTTCTGACCAGAGCGCCACAGTGAGTCCCAGACTACATCAAATTTTCATTGAACATATTTACTGGAAAATCCTTGGAAAGGAAAGAACATAAACTTGTTTTAAACCCAGGGACAAGCAAAATGCACGAGTAATCTCGGCACTAAAACCTGGCCACTCCCTCTTTAGGATTATCGCCATGTAACATAGTTGGGCTGGGCTGAAAAATCAATATATGTAGGATTTAGCATGGGGGTTATTCCAGTGCTTCCAATGTGAAAATACTGTGTGACGTTTTTCTAGTGCTTCTGTATCTAGCTGATGCCACACAATACAAATTTGTGGGACATTAAAAGAAAAGAGTTTCTGTGTGTGTGTGGGGGGGGGGAGATTTAATTAATGTTTCTTCTGTACGGATTAGTTGTTTCCTACAGTTGAGTTCTTCTGACCCTATGTGAATTCATTCTCACTTGTTGAATGATGTAGTAGAGGCTTTGTTTCCTGTGCAGGGGGAGAGGCCCACTGAAGAACACATCAGATGTAATTAACGCAGCAAAAATGATTTCAGAGTCAGGATCAAGGATGGATGTCTTAGCACGCCTGATTGCCAATCAGGTAGGTTGTTTATGTAGTAATGCACTAAAACTCGGTCCCAGATTAAGCCAGCCATAAAATTTTCCAGCACCTGAGATGGTCATTCCACAAAAGTAAGTGTGACATTTCTACATCTACCTGTCCGATTTTCCTTTCTCTCTTGATTCCTGGATGTGATGTATAGGTGGATTTTAAACTTTGCAAGTCCAAGAGCTATAGATCCTGTCTTAAATGTGTGTGTGGAGTCTTTTCCTCATCCATGAGAGCTAGAGAGACAGAGAGCGAGAGAGAACGCGCGCGCGTGCGTGTGTGTGTGTGTGTAAACCCAAATGTATATATACATCTCTTTACATAGTCATGCATATGTATATATTTTTAGTGTGTTCAACTACTGCTTTTAGCTATGAATGCAACATTTTAGATGTATAGCATCGTCCACTCTTGAATTCCGTGGGCAAGTTACAAACAAACAACCCATTAGTATCCAGGTGAGTCAGCTTAGGTATGGGAACACAGTACTGTTTAAATTGGGATCAAGCTCTGCTCAGTGGTATCTCTTTTGGAAAGGTGCTAGCTCTGAGCACCACAGTCAGTAGGTCAGTAAGGCTACTGACTTGTCTTCTCTTCCTTGAACTTGTACTTTTTCCAGCCTAATCACCAAATATTTTGCAGCATGTGTGCTTCTGCTGTCTCTAGGTTATCTTCCTCTTTTCCACACCCCCCCAGCCCTGCCATTTCTTTGGCTTATAGATGTCAAATGCCGTTCAATCTACATATTCTTTTGGGTAGTCTTCTGCATACCGGCTGTTTTGATGGTATTTTTTTTGTCATTTAAAAAAAAAGTCTCTGTCATCTAAATTAGAATGGAATGCAACAAAACTGTTTTGTTCCTTGTGAAATGACAGCCCCAGACAGTGGGGTTATAGCTTCATATACTCTGCAGTCTGGCTTTGCACTGTCTTGCGCGTAGAAATCACACTGGTGACTGCAACGGTCACCCAGCTTAATGCCCGCTGTTGACAACAGCGCTCGGGCAAAGAAACTTGGTAAGTGTGAACCAGAGTTAAAATTAGTGTCACTGTAAGGTGAAATTTTAAAGTTAGATTTTTTGACATGCTGCTCATCTGAACCAAGACAGAACTGGTGCATGCAAAAGCAGCTGAAGGCTCCTGTTTACATAGCCCTCATCTTGGGCTGCTCCGTGCAAACTAGTCCAAAATCCAACACGTTACAGCTGTGAGGGCGACCTACTTGCTGTTGCGTTCCTACAGCTTCACCTAGCTCAGCTAAAACAACCAACCAGGATCTACAGAAATGCGGAAGCACGTTCATTTTCCTTGCTAAGATGGCAGCACGGTAGCTGAGGAAATTAATACACCAAGCAGTTCGTCACAGGCAATCATTTTCACCAAGTAAGGTTGTTTTACAGCCAGACCGTGCCAATGGCACAGCGGAAAGAGAGTTCAGTGTGCAAGTGTGGTGTGAAGCGGTGACTTTCATAGTTTTTACGACTGCCTTGTAGGTCCACAGTAGCACGGTAGAGTTGCGCTCTTCCAAACTCTCACATACTGCCTCTCTCCCCCTCAGTTTTGATTCTTTTCGTATATGGCACGTGTTTTCTGATATTGATGAAACGGCAACAACCTGTTAGGGTTTCTTGTCTCTGCAGATTCCAGCTAGCAAGACCAAACATACTGATTTTTGATTAATACAGTTGTGATCTCTGGGAGAACAAGGCACAATGTCTGGAAGCCCTTATTCCGGATCTTACTAGATTAGATTTTTCTTCATCGATTGAAAATTAAAATTTAAAACAATAACTGTCACCCATCAGTTGCAGAAAAAAATGCCGTACCAAAGCGGAAGATGAGTGTCATAAATTCTTATTCTGCTTAGTATAGAAACTCACAGTCTTGCTGAAATTCCTCTTTCCAAAAGTTTTCCTTTTTCGTATTGTTTCAGTGACTCAAGACTTAGGACACGTGAACAAATTACTGGGAGGAAAAAAGTAGCCATGACTTGTTCATGCTAATAATCAGCGTGTACCCTCTTAGCTGCTGCAAAATGTGAGATCATTAAAGTTATTTTCACCTTTTTCTGTATTAATTCAAGTCACTTCCATTTGCCTTGGGTCAGAGCGAGCACACCGGTTGATATCCTTGAGTCAGCTGATCTGTGGTACTTATTCCCTGTAGCATCTTGTACAAGATGCAGTACACCAGTCAGTTACAGGTGTTGCTTGTATTTAATTACATGCTATAAACACTAGAAACAAATGAGTAAACCGTAAATTTGAAAAAAAAAAAAAAAAAAAAAAGAAGAAAAAAAAAAAAAAGAACCAGAAAAGCCCTCCTAAGGACACAGGATGTAACCAGGCCTCTTCCTTCATTAAGTCCGATACCTCTGCTGCGGACACAGCTATAATCGCTGCTAGACGTGTAGCAAAGTCAGTTAAAAAAAGGAAAAATCTTGCCCTTACTCTTCCTATTCCAAAGATGCTTAAAATCCTCATACTCCTCTGATGGCTAGAAATCTTGTAACTTCTACATGTCTTTGTTCTTGTGCCAAATCATCCATTAACTTACAGAACTCTTTTCTCACTGTGTTTTTTTTAAATCCTGGAAGTACGTTTAAAGTAATTGCTATTCTCAGTTGTTATTTTGTGGCATTATATATACTCTCTTCTTTTAGGGTCCTGAAACAAAAGAAACTTTCCATTCCTCTAGGCAAGCTCATAGCTTCTCTCTGAATTTGGCCCCATAACCTGTCAAGAATTTGGTGACCAGACAGGAACATGAATTCTAATGAGGTTTTAGGAATGCCCTTCAAAGTGGCATTAAGGCTTCCGTATTTTTAGAGCAACTCTTTCACGTTTTCACCTTTTAGTAACTGTTAGATTATGTGGAATTTTTATTACTGTTTATCTAAAATATAAACAAATGTACCAGAGAAATTGATGTGTATATGTATTTGCTTCGGGGAGTCACAGTTGCCCTGGCACACCAAAATATTCAAGTAGTTGTTAAAAGATACATGTGCTGGCATTCCTCATGCGCATACTTTCTTGGGCACTTTTTCACAGCCTGCTCCTGTAGCTGAGAAAGCTGCTTGCCTCAGCTTAGACTGCTCTAAATCACTGTAAGTATTTGTTGTCGTCACTTCTGATACTCTCATTCAGTTAGACCACATCACTTCCCTTTTCATAGCTGTCCCGTGGCTGTGAGCGGGCCTTGCAGTGAACAGGACCATACAGTAACGTATGAGACCATTTTTCGGCGTTCAAAGTTACACGCAAGTAAGACAAACGAAACCCTGCGCCTTTCTCTCCATCTAGCTTCAGAGCTGAGCAAGAAGCGGAAATAAGCAAGCACTGCTCAATGAAGAATTACTGCTGTATTTCTTTGACCTTTTCCAGTTCATAAAGTAGTTTCAAAGGAATGATTTTGGTTCACGCTCCATGGAATTTCAGAGAACCAAAACTGAGGACTGTGGCACTGCATAGTTCATACAGTTTTTCCTGTTAGGAAACACGCATTAAACTTACATCTGCAGCTTTTTATAAAGCTTCCAATTCAACAGGATCTCTCTGATGCATTCTTCCTCATTTTCGATGGTTACGAATCCCTCCTCCTGTGCCTCAAGAAGAGTGACAAAATGTGATGTAATTAGCAGAGTTCAGTTATATTTCACTCCATACTCACAGCACTTAAAGATGACTCAGCGTTAACAACTGTGAACATAATCACAGCAGAGCATCAAGATAAACCCAGGGAAATTAATCACAAGTACACTGTTAATAAACTTAGTTTTAAATAAGATCGTTTCAGAGTCGCTGTCTTAATTTGTGACCTGAAAAGCCCGTTTCTAATGAAGGCAGTTAGTACATCCTGTTTTTCAAGTGAATGGGTTATAGGTGAAAATGTTTATTAAAAGCCTCCTTAGGTATTCAGTACGATAAAATATTAACTGCTTTTAATCCTAGAAATTTAGGGATCAGTATGAAACATTTCCTCTCGGTAGAATCACATAATCTTCCAACGTAAAAGCTGTTTTTACATACATGAAAATTTTGTTCTGAAAGTGAAATTAAAAAGGCATCTTTTAAAATGTTTACCTGATGAATAAGACCAAAGCAGATGATAGGCCAAAACGATCATCTGATTACATGATCACGTTACCTAAAAACCTTACAGTCAACAGTTGCAGTCAGTTGCGTGTTTGTAGCTATCTGCATTAGCCTGTCTGTGTGCGATTATTTGCCGTCTTCCCAATATTAATCGCCATGAAGACGATGCAGATGATTGATTGTCAGATTCTGAATCGTCAGAAAATCAGAGTCGCCATAGAGTCAGATTCTAAGGAAATGACGCTGACCACTTCAGCAAAGTGATGAAACTCAAACTAAAGCAAGAATAATATTTTTATGGTCAGAATTTCCTGCAGAGTAATTTGTATTTTTTTTTTTTCTTTTTGTGCCACCGCTGCTGTGCTAGTGGCTAATGAAAATACTTTGTCACTTGGATTGTTTCACTGTGGTTTTCACCACTGCATAGTTGATCCAATCGTTTTGAGGTTTCCTGTGGATATTATGCCTGTTAGGTAAAAACATGGCTGCATTTTTCTGGATGTCAGTTCTGATCTTGTTCTTACGGAAGGCCCTTGTTTAACATCCGACTGCGTTAGGCAGCGTTGAGTAAGGACGAAACCATCGAAGGGCATAGTTGAAGTGTATTTTTCTGTCATATGCTGCTGCTTTGAAAACATCCCACATACATAAGGAAGAGAAGATGACAAGAACCTCTTCTGTTTTTTCTCCTGAACTATGACAAAGTTCACCATACATGTCTGGGGTGGATCTAGAAGAACGCAAGCTGAGGCGTGACATTTAATTCATATTAGTTCCGTAATTAATTAAAGTTTGTTGACCTAAATTTCTGAGTCCTTGCTCTCTTTTCCTAACTCCAAAACATGAACTTGTTTACTTCTTAGCTAAACGTTTGTATTCCATTACATAGTTGTGAAGAGTGGAAGCCTCATAACCCCATGTTGAACAGCAAAAATCCAGTTTCTTCAGCAAAGCCAGTAGTTTAAATGAAGTATTGCATGACTTTAGTAGAATTGATGCTGTTTCTGAGTTTTACTACATCCAGGATTTTAAACCACCGACTGCAACAAAGACAATGCCATCGGCCCAAAGGTCTAACTGTGGAGAAAACTGCAGATGGTTGTTCCCACTGCAGTTGGTGGGAATACACTTTCTCTCTAATATACAAAGCTGAACACAGTTTCCTATCGGAAGAATGTGATCACATTTCTAGTATAAGTACAGCACATACATAAAGGCTAAAAAGGCATCTGTGCTGAACTGTAGGGATCTATCTGTTATTTATAGCGTGCCCAGGTTTTGCAGCTGTGGTAGCATAGTAGAGACGCTACATTCACCTTAAAAAAAAAAAAAAAAAAAAAAATCCCTGTATTCTGCCAGAGCAATGAAAAGCAGCTTTAGAACGCACGCATAGCAGCCCTTAGATGACTAGCCTGTTCATTACAGAGCAATATCTCCCTCCAAGTAGGCCAGGTATTTTCAGGAGTTCAGAGAACCGAGGGCAGAAGAAAAAGTTATTTTTATAAAGTATTGGTAGCAGTGAAGCTGCTGTGAGATACTCATACTTGCCAACTGATCCTGTAGCAGTGCTACAGAAGATCTGCCACTGAGTTGAATAAACTGACAGTGGAACACAAAACATGGCGACTGTTGCTACTGAGGTAAAGAAAGCATAATTTGGGGTAAATATTAATACTGCTCTGCATTTATGTTTCCATTTTGCTACGTAACGACTACAGTTAACGTAGGTAACTAACTGCCCCCCAAAAAAAGAAATTACAACCTAACCTCTTAGGAATTGAAGGAAAAGTAGTTATTCCAAATACCAGACTAAGTGATTTGGTTAGAAATACTGCTAAAGCAAGAAAAAGTGACTGTGGGTAAGTGAGGCTGGGATTATTCTGAACTTCTCTGCTTACTTTGTTTACAAGCTTTATAAAAGGAGCGAGCTGTTCAGCCTCACGCGGCTGCAGCGAGACGCGGGGCTACGCTAGTGAGCAGTTACTCTGAGTACTCCTCAGTACCGTACGAACCTGACGTGTGAGATGACGTTTTGACTCGGCAATTGCTGAAATGTTTCAGTAACTGTTCATTTTTTAAAATTATTTAGTGTCCAGACCAGTCGTGTAAACAGGACTTGTTGGCTTACCTGGAACAGATCAAGCTGTACTCCCATCAGCTCAAAATCTGCAGTCAAGTTAAAGCAGAAATCCAGAATCTGGGTGGAGAGCTCATCATGTCTGCTGTAAGTAGAAAAATAGCATAAATTACTTCCTCTGTTAATCAAAATGAAATTTCTCAAAATTGAGTGAATTTGCTGCACTTGTGAAATGTTGCACTGTAGACCTGAATTTCTTCTTTTATGCCCCACTGCTTTTTATACTCACTTTACACAGGACACACACGGCAATAGAGCATAAAGCTGGTGACTTAAAAGGAGCAGGAATGACGTGCGTGTTTTTTCTGCTGGGTTCTCCAAAGCTGTCATTATGCACTCGTACTATGCAGTAGTTTGGTTATCCTCTTCAGTATGGGCGTAGTCTTGTAGAAACTGTACTGCATTTTTGCGATAGTGCTTCATTTTCCAGCGTACCTAGAGTGCCCTCTGTGCGAGAGGGTCAGCGCGTGAGGGTGTGTGGGTGGGTGAAGTAACCCGAGCTGTATTTCCAGTTCAAAAGGAAATGCTGAACAATATTCTTGACTGGCTACTGTGATGTGCAAGAGAAGGGTGCGTTCCCACAGAACCTCGATTAGATGTCTGGATTTGCATTAACTTGGAGTCATCAGCTCTGTTAAGGCTAGGTAGTATAGTTAGTCATGGAAAAGACATTGCGCACTTAACATGGGTATTCAAATTATTCCCTCACCTTTTCAGAGTGTTTATAACCACGTAGTCATCGACTATTACAATTATTTGTAGCGTACGGCATCCGTGATTTCAAAATGCAAACATCTGCTAAATAATGAAAAGGTAACAAAAAAGATGCTTCCTACTCCACACTCGTACTGTTCAGGAGTTTCTTCTTTATGAGAACATCGCGTTCACATAGGCTTGAATATATAAAAATCTGTCAACCAGGCGTCCTGTTGATATGTTTTATTTATTTGGCTTATAATCGAACCAGAAACGAACCCCTTTATTACTGACACAAGATTTGAAAGAGAGTGATTTTTTTTTTTTTTTGGTAGCGTAGCTTGGATATTATTTGAAGGAGAATTCTGAGACTGTGTTTAAACCTCTGGAACCTACAGAGATGTAATTTTGAACCAGATGACTTTATACTTTCTGCAGTGAACATCTGATTTGATTTGGGTTGTAGATTAATCAAATTTGTCTTGATTATTCATTTCTTCTTCCTTTTTGCAAGCAATTCCACGAGCAGCGTGCATCAATGAAGCCAGATTTCATACTTTCTCGCCCTTGGCGTGCGTGCGTCCTCTGCGATCAGTGCTGTACTTCAGCTTCCCCATGTCGTCTGTCACCTCTGTGTGGTCCCACAACACAAAATCCCCATATTCCCCCATGCTTCAAGCCCGTGCTTCAGTGCTTTTCTCTGCTGCTTGCCTGACGCT